GTTGCCGCGGAAACTAGGGGCAGCTGAACATGATCGGTTCAAAAATTTTTTGCTCCTCAAGCTCTATCGTAACCTTGGTTTCGCAGATGCTGTCAAAATTCTGGCCCAACTATTCGGTGAGCAAAGTTCCTTGTTCTATATTCGTTATCAGTGTCTCATGATTACAAAAAGGGATACTGCGGATTTCATCACCTATGCCGGCGTGGTCACTGAGCTCCATGACCAATGCTCAATTCAAGTGTCTCACCTTCGTGGCTGGTCTTCAATCGCCAAAGGCAGGTGTTCGGACCCGGCTACTGAATCGAACTGAACAGGATCCGGAATTGACGCTTCAGAAACTCACCACCGAGTGCCAGCATCTTCTCAATCTCAAGGCTGATGCTGCAATGATTGGGAATTCCAAATTCCCTCAGCCTGATATGGTATGCAAAGTAACTTGCAACAGGAAGTCAAATTCACCGCGATCTCCAAGAAAACCGCACACACCCTGTTAATATAGTGAAGACTGGTAACATGCATGCTACCGTCTGTACCGGAACCACGGGCGCAGCACGTGCAGTAGAAAGGGTCACGAAGAAGAATGAAAGAAGAATGCTGCACAGACAACACCAGTTGGCCTCCAACTGGATTCAGGTTCTGACCTCACTCTGATTTCTAAGTGCATGTGGAACGTAATTGGAAGGCCACCAGTGGAAACCACAAAGTCAACCGTTCGTGATGCATCCGGTAGAAGCCTCAGTCTGACCGGGAAGCTAAACCGTTCAGTAACCTTCACGGGGGTTCAACTCAGTGGTGCCTGCTGCCTCATGAACTACATAGGCCTTGATCTGTTGGGCCTGGATTGGATTATTGAGCTTCAACTGTTTGATAAACCCCTCAGTGCAGTTTGTAACGAACCAACTGCTAATGGCTCCGACACGTTCACGAGAACATCACGTCTTGACGAATAAGCGGTCACCACAATAACAGTCAAACCGGTGACCAAGCAACGGCTATTCAGCTCCTAGCGTCAGACACCGGTAGCCCTCTCACCTCAGTCTAATTTGGTGAACCATGCCAGCAGCCCGCAACGTTTCACCCGCGGTCTGAACCCTTCAGTTTAAAGTCGCAGGTTCAGATGGATCGTTCTACCGCTAACCGCAAAGTCAAGTAAGGGGCCGGAAAAAGGGACAACAATCACACAGAGACCAGCCACTGATTCAAAGATATGGGGAACGTTCTTCGCAGTGGACGCAGTGTCCACTATGTCAAATACGAGGTGCAAGTAAGATCACCAGAGAAGCCGCGTCAAGTGAACCAACTTTAGGCAGCAGACTGCCGTTCGTTGAGAAGACCATGTTGCATGGGACACCGGACAGTCGTGATATACCTCCCAAGTGGAGGGTACCGGATCCCAGATCAGCATGCCCGCGGCCCCAGGGACGGACCGACATGCGACAGAACCTCCATGAGTCATCGCACTGGAGTCCAAAACAACAGTCCATTGAACAGCCTTCTCAAATAGGGAGGTGTTTGGAGGATAGCCGTCCCTAATATCCGAACATCACATCACTTGTACGGATGTGTCACGTGCAGGACGCGGACCATCCCAGTCGATATCGTTGACTCGACGCTTCTCGCCCCCCTCACTGAGTTCTGGTACGACCATGTGGAGCACTCTGCGATTACCCTATAAATACAGCCGTAACAATTTTCCTTTGTCTTCATGAAGGTCTTTGTGGAGCTACCGTGCCTTTTAATGTACCGTAGTTGGCGGAGCAGGAAGCCAAGGGACCGATGCAGAGTTGCACTACCGTTCAACAAGTCACAACAAATTTTCACCTCTTTCACTAACGGATCGTAGTTGGAAGAAGGTGTCATCCTTTTTAACATAACGGGGTCTGGCGTCGATAACCAAATCGGAACGGATTTGCCATCCGTTGACTGCCTGTGGAAGTTAAGTAATCTTTCGTGTGGTTTTGCGTTAGTAGCGTTCACAATAAGGAGCGAAGAGTGCAAAGCATCTAGGAACATGCATTCCCACTCAGTAATGTCCCGTTTTTGGGTTTTCAACACCAGAGTGATCCGCTTCCAAAGAGTTCCGTAAAGCCGTTCGACTTGTCCGTTACCGCGCGGATTGCATGGGGTAGTTCGACTGGTTGCCACACCCTTGTCGCGAAGAAACGTGTGCACTTCACCCGACATGGAAGCTCCACCACGATCTGAATAGACGTATGAGGGCAGTTCGAACAAAGAGAACAACTGATTAAACACTTGATCATGATGTATGAGGAAACATCCGTACACGCGAAGGCGAATCGGAAATGGGAGTACTCGTCGATCATTGTTAAAAGGTATTTGTTGTGGGAGGTCGATGGAAGTGGGTCTTTAAAATGGATGCTGACGCGTTCAAACGGTTGCGTAGCTTTAATAAGATTGCCAAAAGGGTGATTGAGGAAACGAGGCTTCAATTCTGAACAAGTTCTACATTGATTTGTAGCCGCCTTAACATCCTCGATCGAAAACGGAAACTTTTTTGAGCGGACGAAATGAAGCATCCGCATGATGCCGGGGTGACATAACGTGTTATAAAGGTGTTTGAGATCCACATGTGACGCAGATATGTGATCAGTCCGCGAGAGTGCGTCAGCGGCTTTTTGATTACATGGACGGTACTGGACATCGTACTGAAAACAGGATAGTTCAAGTCTCCATCTCTGGATTTTGTCGTTTTTCACTTCGCCTTTGTGCTGTTTGTCTTACATAAGGACAACTGATCGTTTATTCGTGGCAAGTGTGAAGTGATTGCTGATCAGGTAGCGTCTCCATTTTCTCAGTGTCTCAACAATCGCGTACGCTTTCCAGATTGCTGAATGATGCTCATGTGTGACAGAGTGCGTGAAGACAAAGCTACCGAGAGCCCGTCTTAGTTGAGAGTGGCCGCAATGGCTATGTCGGTAACATCAGTTTCCACGAGTGGACGAGCGTAGTCAATGGTGTACACGGCGGCTTTTTCCAAATCGTGTTTGAGATTATTCAAAGCAGCTTGTAGGCTCTCTGGATTGGGAGGATCTGATTGCGGACGATTTGCTGAGTTTTATCCCAAAAACACGGGATCCAGTGTGTATGCCAGCATTGCGACCAATCTTCGTTTTGAATGGAGGTTACATGGATGAGGCAACTCCCGTATTGCTCGAAAACGTCCAGGATCCAGTTTTATCATACCGTGTGATATTTCGTATCCTAGTAATAGTACTTTCGCAGTAACTATGATGCTCTTCTTCTGGTTAAATGTAATACCGTGACATTTTGAGGCCTCTATGAATTTCTTCAAATATTGATCATGTCCCTGGACATCGCGACCAAACACATTAACATTGCCAATATCTGCAAATGTATCGAGCAGACCCTCCTCGCGTGTGATGTTGTCTATGGTGCGTTGAGAGCGGGCCACACCACTAGTAACTCCGGATGGAATGCGTCGAAATTGAAACAGTTCACCACATGCCTCGAATGCAATATATGGTTTGTCTTTGTCGACAATGGGAATCTGGTGGTACGCACTTTGAAAGTCTAGTGTGCTAAACACCGTGTAATGAGGAACCTTCTCTACAAGCTTCTCCTCCTTCGGCAGATATACGCATCAAGATAAGTGAAGCGATTTATGGTTTGACCGTAATCGATGACCAAGTGCTTCTTATGTCTCATTTGTAGTAACGAGAACCTGGGCGCGCCAAGGGAAGTTAGACGGCTCAATAATTTAGTCAGCTAGTAGCTTCCGAATCTCCGTCTCGATAAATACCGTATCCACGCGAGATGGCTCAAGTGGTTAGACCGGAAGATCCGTGGTTCGAACCCGACCTCTACCTCTCGACTTCCCCCGCCTAGGCTTGGGCGACCTGGAAGTATCCCAGCCCTCGTGCTTTCTTCGGGTAGCATGGCAGCTAGGCACCGGAATGGTGTTGCAGCTGAACGATTTTTTTTATATCCGCGCGAGACAAACGAGATTTTTTTGGCAAGATTATCAAACAAAGAGGGAGCATTGACCCTCGCTGCTTTCAGTGTGCATACGGCGAACTGAGGCCGTTTACCCGTGACTGGTATGACCACACTTTGGTGTTACCTGAGAATATCCAAGCCAAGGATGACGTCTGAACACAAATTGGACAAGAGCGAGAGTTCGACATCTTCGTATCGCGTGCTTTTGTACAGCACGGCAGCATAAAGATGACCGCTAGTAACACAAGATAAATTCGTTGAAGCCATCGAGATAACACTTTTAGAGGATGTTGTCCAACCATGCTTCAGGACGGTGTCAGAAGAACTATAACTTTCGCAGCTACCAGTACTGATAAGAGCATGAAATGGGATTTTATTCACTATAACCTCAACGATTGATTTGAAAAGTCCAATGAATGAAGAGATGTTGGAAATGGATGAGACACCAGGGTTCACCGTCGATGTGACACGACTTGAACTCGGTTTGGATCGACAAACTTTTTGGAAATGACCTTTCTTGCCGCAGGAATGACAGAAAGATTCACGAGCCGGACATTTTGAGCGGCTGTGCTTGCCGTTGCCACAGAAGAAGCTAGATGAGGATTTGCTTGCAATCGCGTCATTAGAGTCAGTCTGAGAGATAAGTGCATCACGAACAGAAGTCAAAGGTTTATCAGTTTTGATAGATGCGGCACCACAGGGAACATGAGAAGACGAGTTGTATGAGAGTGACTTTTTGAGCATGTTCAAGCAGACGTGCCTCTTCAAACGCTTGTTAAAGCTTGAGAGTGTGTTCGTTGACGGACGGAATTAGACTTCTAGCCTGTGATAAAAGCGTCTCGAATAGCCTCATCCCGATATTCATCGGCAGAAACCGCACGAATCCTTGGCAAGGTAACATAATTTTGCAAGAATGCATCCACTAATTGACTGGGGTCTTGATTGGTAGTAGCCAGCATGTGGCGAGAAAACACTTCATTTTTGGGTCTAATGTACATCGTTCCGAGCGTCTGGATGGTCGTTCAATTCTGATTCTTGATGGTTTCGCTCACAGGTGGTTTCTGGGGGCCGGTCGCGCGAATCAGCTGAAGTAATCTTGAGGCGTTACCGGCTTTCTGGGCTTCCAATTCTTTGGCTTTCTGTGTCCACCATACTTCATGGTCGGCTCGCACGCCTACTTCCACTTGACGTCTGACAATACTTGCACCGGATTATGTTCTGGATCGGCTTCGATATTTCTCCAAGATTTAAGCAGTGCCACCGTTTGGTCTGATATCCAGTGCTTGCGTTCGTCTGGTTGGGCCGTGGCACAGACCAAATTCCCACAACTATGCAAAGGGGTGGCAATCTCGTCCCAGTATGCGTTCACATCTGATGGTGGAGCATTTGGAAGAGACTCAAGAAGACAATTCTGGTAGATTCGTCTAACATCTGCATCTGCCAGTCGATTGCCAAGCGATACCCCCGCACCTTACGCGGCCCTGGGAAACGTAGGGAGAAACGATTCCGGATAAGTGCGTGGTCAGAATCCACAAATGTGTCCCAAACCGACCGGCAGTCAGTTGTTGATCCACGCCATCGGTAGCTAGTCGCAACGTGATCGATTTGAGTTTGTGGCTGGTATACCGTTGAAGGACACCATGTGGCAAGACGAATTCAGCTATTTTGGAAGTTAGTACTGCATAAAAACAGCCTGCGATCAGCACACAGCTGAAGCAATCGTTCCCCATTGTCCGTACGTACCGAGTCCAGTCCATGTCAACCTTCTAATTGAGTCTCAGATACGTTAAGCCCCTTCCTTGTGCATTCATATCTCCGGCAACCATCATGATGTCTGAGCTTTTAGCTCGCCACAGCAGGGCATTCAGGGCGTCGTAATACCTGTCTTTAACGGCGTTGGAGCTACAGCCAGGCGCAAATGGACACAGCAAACAGGAAGGGATCAGCTTCCTGCTCGTGAGATTCCTTCACATACGTTATCAGACGAACCGCACAGAGACGAACATAAATGGGTGTCTAGTCAAGTAAGGATACTTCCGCCCGGTGACTTCGAACGATACCAGCCTCTGCACATCCCACCGCAGCAGTCTCTGGATCACCAGGGGTACAAAGCCGGAAGCTTTTAGCTTAGTCACTGTGCTTGAATCTTGAATTCCCGCTTCTAAGACACAGCATACATCAATGCCAAACAAATCCAGTGTGAATGCAAGAGCAGCTTGTTGTCCTGCTTGCTTCAGAGTGCGGACATTGAACGCGGCCAGCTAGAGTGGGTGTCGAGACTTGAAGATTTGGAGATACCTGAGGATGTCGGCGCCATGTTGAGCTCAAAACCGATGCATGACGATCGGAGTCATCAGTCCTAATTGCTGGACCTTAAAGGAGAGAGCTATTAGTGGGGTGGGGAGGGGGGGAATTATGTGAAAGTGTAAGGAGGGGGTGTCAGCAGTAACATGTTTTCGCGACCAGCCCTGTTGTATGCACCAAGTAAGGTGACCCGGCTGGTGGCACCACGCGACGGTCCATGTGGTATGAGAGTATTGTTGGTTGTAAGTGTCATCGTTGTGCGTGGGCTGGGATATTGTCAGGGCGCCCACACCTAGACAGGAGGACGATCAGAGTCTTCAACCAAGGACTTTGGCTAGAAGCCTAACCGCAAGGCACCGGTATTTGGCGGGAAATGCAAATGCATTACCACTTCTACGGAACAAGTCGCCACATGTTCCCACCCCCAACCTGGAGGGCCAGGAAACTGTTTGTCAGACTTCTAGCTATTAACCAACCTGGTATGAGAGACTCTGTGAGTGTTGCGGGGACACCCCGCTAAAGCTCAATGGATCGCTGAGATGCGCGAACCGTCACACCACGGTAAGGTCCGGTCTTTCCGTGGCGACCCAGCTTAACTTCGGGGGACTGGTGTAGCCCAAACGTGCAATGAATTGGACATATATGTCTGATTCCCAGCACCTGCGCATAGGAGATGTGTTCAGAGCTGCATCGTGGTCTTGATATGTTTTAATGACATGGACATGCTGGTCGCCTGAACAAAACACCTTACTGTCTTCACGCTTATCGCAGTGGATAGTAGGTCTACCCCCAGATTGTCTCTTATTACAGTTCTTAGTACTGGTGCTCGTTGCTCGTCTGCTTTCTTTTGACCTTGCTGGTATGGTTGCACATCATAGATCGGAGTTCTAACCAATGTAGCTCGTGGGTTATTCACCACACCCAAGCCCACTCACCATGATAAGATGATAGCTTCCGTCCCTTTTGGAGAACAGGTCTTCCTCTGTTGATTCCTATTGGAAGGTACTGCCCGCAACCCTGGAAAATGCTGGGCGCTCCGCCTGTGAAGCGGTTCAATCAGCCAGATCCAAGCACGACCTCGAGCGACTCTACAAAATTGCTCAAAGTTTGGACACTCATTCTTCCTTATCGAGAGTAATAAACCGCTTGACGAACTGTCACAATTCAGGTGAAAAGAACATTCCCGCAGATGCAGAGCTGAAGATAAACTGTGAATCTGTGTAAACCATTCCGGCTTCTGAAATGGTGAGCCTCAAAAAGCTTCTCTACAAAAACTGGTGTCAGACAAGGATATCCACTCTCCACATTCTTGTTCAACTTCGTCATCGATGAAATAATAAAGCGAACACTGGACATTCTTCAAAATTCCGGTGTTCAAATTGTTGCTGGTGATAGCCTTGTCGATCTGGAGTACGCAGATGACATCACCCTTATCTTTGAAGACCAAAGCGAAGCACAAGCCCTGTTGAATAAACTGATCACCATCATACCATCTTTTGGCATGCGCCTTGCACCTTCAAATTGCAAAGTCCTGCTTCTGAACGTGCCATCTGCGAACATATCCCCTGCAATTCAAGGAGTATCACTGGATATTGTGGAAAACTTTATATACCTCGGTAGTTGTATTAGCTCTGACGGAAGTGTGTCTGATGAAGTCAGTGCAAGCATCTCAAAGTCTCGAATCACGTTTGCTAATTTGCGTCACTTTTGGCGTCAAAAAGGTCGTGTGTACTAGGCTACAGTAAGGACTGTGTTGCTGTATGGGTGCGAGACATGGCCTCGGCGGGTAGAGGATGTGAGGTGTCTTCAGGTTTTCGATCACCGGTGCCTCAGAAGCGTGGATGGTTTTGGATGGCGTCAGCGTGTTAGTAACGAGGTGATTAGAAAACGGGTATTTGGTTGTGCTGCAGGCACCTCAATCCGAGAAAACATCCACCATCATCGAATGCGATGGCTCGGTCATGTGCTACGCATGCCGAAACACCGTCTACCGAGACGAGTGTTGTTCTCCGTGCCTCCTTCAGGATTGCGCAAACCGCGAGGTGGACAGCGCATGACTTGGCAGAAAGGCGTAAAAGAGACCCCGTGATCCAGTCTGTGCCTGGCTGGAGACTTCGGGTAATGGGCTAATCGATGTCAGGACCTGAGACGTCTTCAGGTGTTCGACAATCGTTGTCTCAGAACCATAGCTCGTATGGGTTGGTGTCGGCGAATCCGTAACGAGGCAATTGGAAAGCAAGTTTTCGGTCAGGTAACGGGTACTTCAAATGTTGCGTTGGTTGGAACATGTATTGCGTATGCTGAACCACCGTTTGACGAAGAGAGTGCTGTTTTTCATATCCTGCTCAGGGTGGCGTGAGCAGTGATGTGGCCAACCCTAGACTTGGCAGAGGGTATAAAGGAGATTACGAAACGCTTGGGTGCTGCCGGTGCTACTCGCCTTCCAGTATGCGGATCGCGTGATCCCTACAGCGCCCGGTTGGAGACACTACAAGATATGGCTGCCAATCGATGCCGGTTGCGTTATTGTTGTCAGTTTCTATCCAGATTGTCTGAGTCAATGTCTGGAGCTGTAGGCACCTCGGAATGATTCTGTTAAGCTAACACCAAGTCCCTCCCCCGTCCACCTTTACTTTTTTCTTTACAATAAGGCTTTCAAATAAGTTATGGTTGTACGGCAGTGAGGCATCGGTGTTGAACACTGTTGTCATGCTGTCGATGATTATGATGATGTCAGTGACGTTCGTGCTGTCAGTTCCTTTCCAGATTGTCTTATTGAGCGGTTGGAGGTGTAGGGACCTCAGTATGTCTGACATAAGCCAGAACTAGGTCCCCTCCCTCACCCACTCTTTTTCTCCACTATATATATATATATATATATATATAATAAAAGCCCTACGGTGGAAAGAAGAGAAAAAGAGTGGGTGTGGGAGGGGACCTAGTTCTGGCATATGTCAAACACTCTGAGGTGCCCCCTACTCCAACCGCTCAATCAGACAATCTGGAAAGAAACTGACAGCACCAACGCCACTGACATCGGTTAGCCGCCATTTCTTGCAACGTCTCTAGCCAAACACAGACGGGGTCACGGGGACCCCATCCTGGAAGGCGTACTCTGAAATCAACGAATGCTTTTGTTACTCAAGCTTCACCGATCTGCTTACCTGATGAACCCCCACCAGCTCTGTTAGAAAGTACAGGTAAAATCCTCAGTTGGTGCTTGTCTAACTTAGTAGCCTCTATCTGGGGGAAAGAGACCAACCATCTGGAGAGAGTCTATAGTAGTGCCCATTTTCAAAAGGGATGATAAAGTGCGTGTACAGTCACAAATTTGCCTGACTCCCGTTGCAAGCAAATCATCTTTGGACGGTTGATTCGGAGTCGATGCTCATCATATATACCACAGAGATCGACTCTTCCAGTTATGTGTTGCTCATAAACTGTTTCTGGTAGGTACGGACTTTCAAAACGAACTTAACCTGGCGGCCTCCAACTGCGAATCAACCGTGGACCCAGTTGGGCCGGTGGCCATCAGCCACTGGTGGAGGGCCACAATTCAAGACTGCCGTTTCTTCGGGAACACCACTTGATTCTGATCACGACATGGTGCATGCATGCCTTACAGTTCGCCCCCCCTTCGGGCCCTCGCAAGTCAGCAAGAAGCATGCCATTCCTCTATCCTCGAAGAACTACATAGCCCAACGGTACCGAGAATAGTACCAACAACTATCCACGGTAAACCATTACTGTGGTGACTGAGCATGTGGATCAAGCGTGGCAAAATGTGAAAGAAGCTATGTTAGCGGCGTTCAGCGCTGTCTGTCTGACTTCTCCAGTTCGACCACAAGACCACTGGGTGTCATCGAGATCGCTATCCATGATTGGTGTCAGGAAATGGATACCAGTAGGCAACAAGTACGACGTCGCACGCGAATCCCTCAAACGCCAAATAGTGAAGAGCCTAAGAAAAGACCGGGAGTTCCGGTCGACATCGAAAGCTCGGGAGATAGAGAAGACTTTTGCTACGGGGAACGGTTGTGCCCTATATCGACTGATTTGATCGATTGGCCCTAGGAGAGTAACGGTCAGTAAAACGATAGATGAAAAAGATGGCTCATTAGTTCACTCGCAAAAAAGTTGACTGGAAAGATGGGCCGAACGCTTCGAAGAATGGTTTAGCTGACCTGCAAGTCTGTGGATGTAGTGTATACGGGCGAATGGAAGGTAAACCTAGATGGCCTGCCGAAAGAAGAAATAATATACGAAATATCCGTACTAAAAGGCGAGTAGGCACCAGGACCGGACGTTCTCTATCCAGCCCTCTTCAAAGGAGGCGGAAAATCCCTGGCGACCCATCTGACAAAGCTTATTGGTACCATATGGGACGAAAAGAAGGTGCCTGCAGAATGGGGCATGTCGACAGTTATCCCTATCTTCAAAAGGGGTACGCGGACGCTGTGTGAAAGCCACCGTGGCACCAGCCTGTTAGCTGTGGCATCGAAGGTGCTCTCTGGTCTTATCCTTCGAAGGTTGAGTGGACACAGGGAGAAACAGATCCGTGAAAAACAAGCCGGATTCTGTCCTGCAAGAGGACGGATCGATCATGTCTTCACCCTCCGGAACAGCGACACTGCTTCCAGCAACCAACAGTGGTAGGGCGCTAATTTACTGACCCGGAAGGTCCGTCGTTCGAACCCGACTTCTGCCTCTCGACTTCCCCTGTCTAGGCCTGGGCAACCTGACAGTATCCCTGCCCTCGTGCTTGCTTCCTTTTGGTGGCATGGCATTTAGGCACAGAAAGGGCGCTACAGCTGGATGTTAATTAACAATGGTCGTTCTTTGATCTGAGGGCTGTCTTTGACTTCGTAGACCGTCAGGCACTATGGCAGTGTCTGTGGAGCAAAAATGTTTCCCATAGATCCTTGATCCTCCTTAAGGCGCTGTACGCCAACTCGCGGCCATGTGAAGGTCTACGGGAAGCTCTCTTCTGAGTTCACCACACCAAGTGGTGTCAGACAGGACTGCCCTCTTTCACCTTTCCTCTTCAACCTCGTCATTGATACGATCATGGACGGCGAACTATCAGCGTCTAATGTCTTTAGTTTCGAAGTGCTCCCTGGGCGTCCACTCACAGAAATCTAGTACGTATCCAACGTGGGTCTTCTTGGATCTGGCCCCCTGGTAATGCAAACAATATTACATAATCTTAATAATTCCGCCTCACGGTATACCTTGCGCTTCACACCGGCAAAGTTTGAAGTGTCACAGCAAAACTCAGTGGGCCCGGAGCCTAACCTCATGCTTGCGGATGGGTCGATTGAGGTAGTAGACAAATTTGTTTACCTGGGCAGCTGTATCAGTACCGGTGGTCTTGCGGAAGATGATAGTTCCATCCGGATTTGGAAGGCCAGAGCAGCTTTTGTTAACCTGCGTCAGCTGTAGCGTAGGCCCAGTCGCGCCCTCAGTGTTGCTCATGCATCCAAGCTATGGCCTTCAATGCATAGCTCCCTTCCCAATCCCTTCATTTAGCCGTCCACTGAGAGTCCTGTATTTACGCATCAGTTTATCAGCTCCCGCCTCCAATGTACAGCTACCCATCCTATCTCCCCAAATCATCGATGAACGAGACCGTGGGAGCTACAACAACTGTGCAATAAGTGCGCAGCTCTTGCAGCTAATAATAGTAATTGATTCACTACTCGTATCGGAGCCTTTGGCATTGAAAATTAAACCTTTCGTGACTTCGAAAATACGCAATTGCTTTTCCCTGCCCAAGCGATGCAAAGTTCCTATCGTTCTGATGGAGTTCCACTCACTCCGTTTATGAATGAAAACAAACTGCTCAGTCAGTGCATGTCATACTTATCTGTTTCTATCTGTTCGGAAGAGACTATCACAGGCAGCTGGTGTGAATCGTTAGTATTGCTCATTTTCCTAAAGTTAATTTGTTTATTCTCTGTACCATTTGCAGCCTGTAACGGCTAATGCGTGTTATAACCATGCTCCTTTGATGAAAATACTGTCTCTGAGGCATGCGATCTCGATGGACCTGTCCGCTGTATATCTTCATGTTATCGGTTTTGGTGAATGCACAGACTTCTGGAAACACCTGTGCACATGTGAGAAAGCTGTTGCAAGACCACCGAAACGTCACGTTATCAAGATCATCCGATCACTTTTCAAACTTTCTCAAAACTGCAGGAACTTCGTGTCGTCTCTCTTCTGGCACGTTGAACACATGCTGTTCATTAACAGACGTTTATGTGATGTACGCATTAAGTGAGGTGGAATTCAACCACAGCTGGAATCTTTGGCTTTCATTCGTCTTCCAGACAACTATGAACGATTCTATTCGCTTGCAAAGTGTGCAATGATAATCTTCTAATAATCATACTTTATAGAGTTTTTTGTGTCTGCCCTCAGCACTACGATGGCCACGTTACATTCCAATTTCAAGCGGTCCTATGGATACAATTATGAACTCAATCAAGATTTTTTCTTTCAATTTTTCGATGGATTGGCTAAATACATGCTAGGTCAGAAGCAGAATTTGTCCCTCATGATCGATATGTTCTTTCGAGAACTTCTGATTCGCATTGTTCGCCTTATGTTACTTGCGAAGTCAGAAAGCGATCTCCGCACAGCTGATTGCGTTGCTGAGGGACTGGAAAAACAAAACCCGTTCGATCAAACACCAGAAATAATCAAAGCCCTAATGGGTCGAGCATTCCCACCGGCACGAATTGCCGCCAATGCCCTTCTACTTGGAAATGAAATGATAGGGAGTATAATGAATCATGTGAGTTTTGATACATTTTGAATTACATTTCATTCTTAAATGGCTTGTGCATCATGATTTGTACTGGTTTTGCTCTACTGTGCTGACAACGACGCCGCAGACTAGCTCTTAGCTAATATTTCGGTGTACGCTCCCCGTTAGTTCAGCTCTCCAGCTAATGCCACAACATCTGAAGACTTGGAATGCCACGTTATCATTCCCACTTGTAGTGGATGTACATTGCACCTATGGTACAAGTGCAGATAGTCCCTCGAAAATATTTGTTGTCTTAGTCGTGAGGATCAGCAGAGAACCTGGCTCGCACAATTTACCGTGATATTGCAAACCTGAGTTTCGGTATGCTTGAATACTCAGAAAATCTGGTGACTTGCATCATCAGTTGATTAAAAAAAATTCTAGTCTCCCACTCACGTACACGAGCAGATGAGAAACGGGATATCTTTGAACTCGGACGATTCTCGTTCTGAACCTAATTTAAAGAAGGTCAATCTGCTCTCCTTTATTGCACGCTGGGTTTGGGATTACAAATGGAAATTTACATCGACTATTGTGTTGAGCCTTAATCAGCATGATTCTCTTTACGATGGGCGTTTTTGCCATACAGTGGTGGTTCTACCAGGAAACTCGTCTTCATGTGGGCACTAGCGGAAGCGTCTGTCGCTGGTTCTTCGTTCACGAATGCCGTGAAATTGCAGACAATTGTACTACAAGTCAAACGTCTACTTCAGAAAAGTTATCGTATGAGGACGAAGTGAGGAGTAGGAGTGATCGCCAACCCATGGTTGGAAGTGATAATAACCGTCCAGCTGTAACACCCTTTCGGTTTGAATTACGCACCCTCCGGTCAGTAAATTTATTCGTTAACCACTAAGTTATCTCAAGCTCTGGTTAAAAGTGGGCGAAATTCACGGTTTAGGAATCCTTCGGAAGAATCCAAAGCAGTAAAGCTCGGTCTTATTGCGAAGAATACCTAATTGGAAGCAGTAGCTAGTTTTTCTCAAACGAGGGAGACGAGCTGGACCAAGTGGTTAGTGCGCGAATTTACTGACCGGAAGGTCCGTGGTTCGAATCCGACCGACCTCTCTCGACTTCCCCTGTCTAGGCTTGGGCGACCTGACAGTATCCCAACCCTCGTGCCTCATTCGTGTGGCATGGCAGCTAGGCACCGTAAGGGTGCTACAGCTGGACGGCTTTTTTTAAGCGAGTGGAGCAATGAGAACTAAGGAGAATGTTGGCAGCGCAGAAGGTTTTTGAAAAATACCTGCTGTGGCAATGTAGATGGCGAAGTTTTCCACAGTTCGGTTGAAAATGTTCGAACGTGGCTTCTTCCATTGCATCGATACCTTTTCTAGTGTGTCTTTTCTTGCCATTATCTTTCGCTCTCTTGTTCCTCTTGTAGACAAGCCTACGAGTCGCCTGTGTCAGACACTGGCTGGAGTTACGTTACTGCAGTCTTTGCTCGGCGACAGTTAATGCTTACATTTGCCCTCACAGCTGTCGCCTGGCTTTCGATAGCTGCCTATCAAATGTCCGGCCACTAGCCCTAAAGTGGGCAAGTTTTATTGGTACGTACAACCCGCTCCCGACTTCACCAATTGTATCTTTTGATACCTTTAGCCTTTGTCATTACGTACACTTTCGTTTACTTCATAAGCTTCGACTAAGATCTCTCTTCAACGTTTTTGTAAAGATGCTGATACACAGTTTGAGAGAATCCAAACCATGTGAGTTACGTTGACCCAATCATCCTTCTTAAGGTCCACCAAATAATAACTAACTATCAGTTCCATTGATTGACATGTGAAACTCACATTGAAGACCACGCGACCATGAGACGCGTGCCCTTTTTGGTGAAGCGGCATAAAACTTATTGACGATGCTTTTAAATGATCTTAGTTCACCTCTCATCAGCACTGACCATTTCTCCTCATGTTGCGTGCATGTTGTGTACAGTTATATTTTCCGAGCGGAAATTGTTGTTGTTAATATTCTTCAGACACCTATGACAGCAGTAAAGCAATAGTTGTGTCAAAGTTTCTGCGTAACACCATCGCTCGAGACGTCTTATGCCGCCCCACCGAGTGCACGGCAGACTGTCTTCAGCCATGACCGTGGCAATGAGGAAAGTTGTTTTTTGCGTGTCCCTGTAGTCATGCATGCGCCTACCCACATTCCTAGCTTTGTTCTCGGCGTCACGTACTGTGATATGAACATGCTGTCGCGAGCACCCAACGGTTGCTGTCTAGCTGTTTCTCATCTAAACACCAACTTTTTCGCTATTCGCTTATTGTGTGTCCGATGAATTTTCACACGTCTCCAGTCAATCGGCACAAAAAGTTGGTTCAGTGACCTGCTCAGTTGCGACGTTATTTTGAGTGCTACTGATATTAATGAAATACTTGTGGCGCCATAAGCTACACTTTTCTCTCCTTCCCCTCGAAAAGGTCATATTCGTGGCTAGTAGAGGTTTTTCTGCGCGCTCTTGGACAGACAAACCCATACCACCATCATTGTCGTTGCATCTCAACTTTCGTGCAGCAATGAGGAAGAACAGCGGTGTATTGTTTCAAAATGCCTTTCATTAAAATAATCAGGTAGGAGGTACCTATACATTCGAACAGTACTGAGTCGCACTGAGTTACGACCCATCAGTAGAATGGACCAAGTCAACGTTCACCCCAGCCTAATGCACGACAAAAGGTAGTTTCGCTAAATAATGCGACTAAGAAGTACCTGAATGTTCGTCACTGGTATTCGTTCATGGTATGTTCTCATGAGGTTTCTAGGCGTTCGTAAGAAGGGTTACAATTGCCCCATTCAGAAAATTGAAAAAACGGTTTGTCTGTGCCCGGTTTCACTTTGTATCACCGTGTCACATATTGTCTACCGCAACCCACCCACCAACGGGAAGCTAAAATGGATCATGGCAATTGAGCATGGGTAGTACATGTGGTGATCATCTGAATCTACTAAGCTTCGTTTTATTTTTTTGCAATCCTAGTTCGTTACTGAGCACCTGCTTACCCAGGTATATATATATATATATATATATATATATATATATATATATATATATATATATATATATATATATATATATATATATATATATATATATATATATATATATATATATATATCGTAATTTGGGTACGCATAGGCATCTTAGTATCATTTCCATGGGATGGATTATTTATATCCAGAACCGTTGCATTGCAGAAGTGCCCATGCCTTAGGGGGACGAATGGTTGGAACATATCCATGGACCTGCCCACTAACAGTCCATGTGAAAAGGCTCTTGGCATGTTTGTTACACCATAATTAAATACGTTCAAAGTCACCTTCAAGGTCGGAAGTAACTACAATGCTGTGAATTAGTTCACCATGTACGCTCGAGTGGTCAATCCAAATTCAAGTCACATGAATGGTGACAAGAATATCCTTTGAAACGTGTGATCATGCACGGGAACACAATGCTTGTGTGGGATATGTATATTCGTTTCCAACCGTGGGATAATCATTACCACTGCACACACCGTTCGAACAGGCGCCAGTTTCTTCCATAAAACTACTGGTGTAACTGGTATACGAGAAGATCGCCACAGACCACCATGTACACAAGCCCAACACCATGACCGTTTTCACGAATATTACGTAAGACAATATAAGACTGCTCAGTGGCAAAAAAAGGTGAAAAGACGACCGGCATTTCCTGGGATAAACCCCATTAAGAGTTTTCTGACAGAAAGCCTGATAAGCGAAATGGACCCATGCAAAAGACAGCCTACATCGATTGGATTGCTCTCACATGTCAAATATGGAAGAAGAAGAAAGCCTCTTTTACCAATGTTCCTATGGCAATTCCCACGTTTTAAACATTCGTGAGTAGGCAGCCCTCAGTTACCCTAGACGAAGTCAACTGGGGGTCTCTGTCGAAAGCCGAGCTCGGAATGCATAGGCGCTCCGATTAGTCCAAATGTCAACTAATCAACATCTACACCTTTTCAATTGGATTGCGGATCATAAAAACGCGTCCGTGATATTTATATATAACTTTTACAACGTATCGGGGTCAATGGAAAGTACAGTGACAAAGGATTCTCTATCACAGTTTGTAAGCCCTTGTATGCAAGTTTTGAGTTCCGAACGGTACCAACGGTTGCCGTTCGTCTGATTGTTAAAACACATTGACACGCAGCGAATTCGCATATACAGATCACTGTGAGCCGCTACGCAGGTCAACCTATCAGCGAGCTTGTGTAGGCATTTTCAGTTAGGAAACGTCCTTCAAATTCCATTTAATGGGATCAGATACACAGTGCGAACCCGATGAGCAGTCGAGAGCAGTGTCCACGTTTTAAGTCCTGACAGTACCTTATAGATTACTAACAGAACTTTCGTCAGACAGATCAACATCCAGTAGAGTAACTCGAGTTACGAATGCCTCGACATGCTAGTAATACTGTATTAAACTATGCCCACTACCTTGTGAATGTACAGGTCCTATTAATTTGATGCCATGGAGTAAATGAAGAGGTTGCAGCGCCAGGAGGCGGAAAATCATGTTCAAAAATATACTCAACCTCAAGAAAGGAAATCGACGCTTCTGATAAGTGCCACTATTGGGTTGTAAAAGGAGGGTCGTTTTATGAGCGGAGAAGTGCTCAAAACAGACTAGGGAGTACAGGATAATTTACGCCTTACCCCTTACAAACTAGATGGACATTTGAAAACCTAATTGAAGGATGATTGCTTAAAACCAGACCCAAACTATTTGTGCGACAAAGTCCGGCAGTGTACTCGGAATGGAAACCGACCAAAAGTTTTTACCGGGCTATCAGATAGTGCGGCGCGGTCACCATAAGGGTCTTTTGAGGCAATTCATCGAGGATGCCCGCACAGCCACACGGACTCTTTCAAAATGAGTTCGGCAAGGCCAGGCTCTAGTAGCTCAGTGCTGAGCTCAAGCTAACAGGCTTTTGCACGGTTTTAGTTTGAACAAATGCAATGGAGTTCGCCTGGCCAATCCTGTGTTCGATGACTTCTAATCTGAATGCTATGAACCAGGATGGTGTTTTCTGACAGCTGGCATCGATCTACCTCGTTGGGGCTCGATTTTCAAAGCACAATCTGACACTAAAGACCGTATATATGGCTGGAATCCGAATTAGATCTTCTGGTTCGGTCACTTGGTTTCTTGGCATTGCAACGAGCTCGTTGCTCGTTGATAACGCTTCCATCAAACCATAAAGCTGATTTCTCGATGCATGGAAGAGTTAAGTATTGTAACCTATTTTTCCATTAAGCGTCTTAAGAGTAAAAGTAGATGTTTCACTCATTAGACGTCGCGAGATCTGCTATCTGCATTTCTACTGTTCATACTTCCTTAACAGATCGACTCTTGCCTGTCCTCGGAGCGCTGCAAGGCCCTACCAGTTTTCCTCAGGTTAACCGACCAATCCAGATGCACATAACCGACGCTATCATGAATTTGCAGAGGGTATTTTCCCGCATGGATCAAATGGTAATTCTAGCTAAATCCCAAAATAACTTGCTAACTGCATGAAGCAAGCTTCACCACATTTCAGGAGGCCTTGGAGATACTTACTATTACTCGTCACATATGCATTATTTTTTCAGTTACTGACTAATTGCAGTCACTACGGTATTGCGCTGTCCAACAGGCTCCGACGTTCAACTCCCTTTCGATATCCTACGTCACAAGCACCCCCTCGTACGGACTTTGGTCAGCCACTCCACCAAATTGAAGCACTCGGGGACTGGTCGAGAAAAGCAGTTGAAAAAGTGTGTTCATAATTTTGCTCTTTTATTTAGGTGAATGGTTTACGTTCATGAATTACATCCATTAACTGTTTCAAACACTAAATGCGGAGTCAGACATTGCATCGGCCTATCTGGAATGAAGGAGCCTGTACTCTGACGGAATACACCCATTTGTAAATTGCACTGGTGTTAACCGGAGACTCGCTTGTGGTATTCCCTCAATTGGACTTCCCGTTAACCAACCTAATCTGACAGTGAGCGCATTTTGTCATTTATGTTCATTCAGAACGTAAGGTTGTTAGAAGCTCGGGGACTTGATGATGAGCTCTCTTGAAATACGCTGAAGTTTTTGGGGACCCTATAAGTAGTGTGCTATGTCAGGGCCTATTCTTCGCTCCTCTGTCTGGTTGGTTTCAAAGCAAGTGGATGTTGTGAACGATGTGTATGATAATCAACAGTTCATAGGCAGGCGGGATTTAAACACGAGCTATTCAGTGTGTTTTGAATTCAACTGTCCACACTGAAATTCGGCTTTCGAAAAGACTTTACATTCCGTTCAGCACTGTCAACCATCAATACACACACAATGTCGGGCCTCAAAACTGTCCAAAAAACGTGTCGCTTATGGCTCAGAAGCGAAGTTCTCTGAACCTAAAGGGTCGTGCATACGAATCATCTGTGCATAATCTTAATCTGTCACTGTGACACCCTGCTGGTGGATGCTTTGCAGGAAACAGTCCATGATACCCTAACTCGGGATGGTCAGTCAATGCACATTTCTGGACTGTGACACGCGATTTTCTTTGTAACTGCCAGCTGTGTCCAAAGCAGTTTTTCATCCGCGAATCATGTGTCCTTGAGTGTGTTGTTTCTGGTCTCCGTATCCTATCGTCATCTAAAAAAGAAGAGCAGGGTAAATTATCAAGCGTCAAACAAGGAAATCAAATTTACGAAGCGGATTTCGAAAAGTGATTCGACCGTATTGCCAAGGGTTCCAGATCGCCGGTCAGATGATCCTTCGGCTCCCCACCCCGACAGATGGTTAGGCTTCCTCTGCCGAGTCGTGGCCTGATCAACTGGTGTCCTCTGCCACCCCAATCTCGATGGAACGAATAAGGCCCGTTACTATCCTCAAACTTGGCTGGCTATGGAGAATCCGGCCAACAGGATTGATCTTTGAACTGTTCTCCCATGGTTTTTAAACGGTAAATGAATGATAAATCCATCATTTTCGTTGTATTAGTAGTGGTCTTCTCTTCACCGATTCCCCTAGCGGCCTGAAGCAGAACCGAACGACTTCCATCGGCGAAAACTTTTTCCGTACTCCATTTTCCGCGGTGGTTTTTTTTCAGTCCTCAGGACGGTTGCCTTTTAATAGATATTTGTGCAGCGTCAGGCCAAAAGCAAAAAAGCTTTTGGTTATCCGCCAGGAGTTTCGTGTGATTGATACTTCTTGCATGCGTATTGAAGAACTTCGTTACCTCAACCTCTACATCTCAACTGCTTCTCTTTGGGCTTGGGCAACCTGAGAGTATCTCGAACCTCGTGCTCCCTTTGGGTAGCATTGCATCTAGGTATCTGAAGGGTGTTACAGCTGAATGACTATTATTTCACTGCTATATCTGACTACTGGGATGTTTAGTTTTGCCTGATTGAGTCGGGTCGAAATCCCATCTCTGACGCGAACAGGGGGCAAAATACACAGTGCTAACCGCCATCCCTATGAACTGTTCTGCTTTTCCTCAACTTATGTTCGTCTTTATGGTGGAATATTAATGGCACTGGTCTGTTCCCATTCCGTTTCCGCACTACTGGCATGGGAACTTTCGAGCAACGAAACAGCCGGTTCAGAAAATCATCAAGAGGGGTATTTAGTGGCCATATTTAGCATGTAATCCATTATGGTTCTGAAGTCTGTCGCATTGTACTGGTTCTGTCAGCATTGACAGGTTGCCTGAATCCAAAAAGCAGAGTTTGTAAAAGTGGGCTGGTGAAACCCTAAAAATGATGCAGGGACCGTTAGAATTGTCAGACGCCACACCATAGGTTTTAACACTACCCGTTTTGCTAGCTTACCTTGAGTATCGTTTGACCCGTTGGATCGATACCAGATTTGTCTGACCAATCTGGTGACAACCTCAAGGTGTCGGAGCGTCCCATGAAAACTGTGCACTTAAGAAGGGTTTGGTATGATATGGTAAAATGATGGGTTCCATTTGGGTTCCATTAAATAAGCCATACTAAAAGTCCATCCTGTTGATCGTATTAGACAAGCCCACTTAATCAAAACTATCCGTACTATAAAAAGCGTGTTAATCGGTTCACTTTGAACATCCTTATTAACCGTCTATGGAAGCCACAAAACTATGGTCCGCGGATGGAATCCGGTATTTTTTGTCCATCTAATAATTTTCATTCATTCTATCATATTTATTTATTTTGATCGCTACCTGTGGACTGTGGTTATTCCGGCCGGTCCCACAGCGCGCAGCTTGCTGTTTTTATAAGCCTAGTGGGACACAGCTTCCAAGTTTATTATGATCTCTGCATTGTAAACTTCCACGAGGCAGCCTCAGAATCTCCGGTTACCCGAATGGTAAAGAATATGTAGTTGGTGCTCCTCTGAGACGTGTGAAGATGCACCATCGTGATATGGATTCTTGTAGGCGCTTCTTTGATACACGGTGTGCATCAATTGTTGAAATTTCAGCAAATCTGCTGAGCAATCTTCCCTGGAATGTGACCATTGAATGTTTCCGTGTGAGCGGGCTCTTTGGAATTGAGAGTTGGGGGACGAAAACGTCTACAAAAGCGACAAGCGACATCGGGGAAACGCATCGTCAGAGGGATTGACCTGGAATCCTTAGCTAACCACAAATGCAATGGCAGAGGCTGATATTCTGATCAGCAATCGACGACAAGTTCAGCACTGGGATCGGTTGTGCCTCATGTCTTCTGGGGTTTCCACTCAGGCTAGGAGTGTACACTCAGTAATGGCGTACTTTTGGCTTTCCATGTTCAAACCAAACCGCTGTTCTGTAAATGACAGAAAGCAAGAGCGTGGTGTGGCCGGAAACGCTTTCGCTGTGCAGGACAGCATTAAATGTGAGACTTGTGACTTACCCTCTGCGGCGTCAAGCTAAGGCGTACTCTCAGGTGACTCCAAGCAAGGCTCATCTAGAGAACCATAACACTTTTTGCGTTGTTGATAAAGTTGCTAAGTCACAATATACCTGTAGGATCAAAGGACGAAACAGTACATCTTCCCATTGATTGCTGGATCATATTTTCAATCAACGTCTCGATGCAGAGTCCTTCAAACAAATTTCTTCATTCGTCCCGGCAAACGAGTAGTATCACCTGTTCTCACAGCACTGTCGAGAGTCCGTCACGAAGAGACTGGACCTTATCGTGGTGTGACGGTTTGCGCACCTCAGCGACCCATT